CGCACACGCACACGCACACGCACACGCACACGCACACGCGGCCAGGCTCATCGTCGAAGCAGTCGTGCGTGCTGCGATCTAATGCAGGCCCCGAAATGGTATTGTTCCATCCCTGCATTCTCTTTGTTTCGGTCCTGAGGCGAGGGCAAAAAGCCTCAATTAGACGATCCAGGGTGCAGGCCGCATTAGGAAGAGCCAAGAGCCACGGGAGCGCTGCGATGTGAAGCAGGATTGATTGATCGAAGTGAGCACTTTTATCCGCAGCTGAGCCAAACAAGGGAGCGCGGATTAAGAAGGTTGCAACTCCACTCTGCTTGTGCAGCTGCAGCGCGCCATGCAGGCACCCACCGGCCGCTCACTCATGCACCTCGGACTTTCCGGCCTCCAAGCCCAGGCCCACGGGAAGCGCGTGCACGCCCCGACTGCGACTGACAGAAGCCTGACAGCCCGTTCCAGCGCTCCGGTATCGGCTCTCCCGCCCGCAAGGGTTCAACTGTCCAGAAACGCACCGTGGGTCCCGCGGGTGCAGCTTCAGCCAGGCGCTTCAGCCATACGCTTCGAGCGCAGATGGGATTATCCGCAGTCACTCCGGCTCACCCGACACACACAGTCATCCAAGTCTCCCACGCCGCCAACATCGGCACTCCCGTTGAATCACATGTGGGAACAGCCCATCAGCGCGCGCTCTCAGCCATGGATGGACAGTTGTCTATATAACCAGGCACCCACTCGAAGCAGAAGAAGCGAGAGCCCCCCTCCCCTCGTCAAGTCGCTTCTCTATACCCCCACTCTCTATCCCCACCTGGAAACGCAATCATCCCCTCTCCACTTCCCTGTTGGCCTCATGAACGTCTTGGGTCTAGGACGAAACACACTGCAAAAGCTCAGCCGATCCACGTCCGGTGCCAGCATGTCTAACCTCGCCGAGGCCGACGTCGACGTCGACGCTCCCGTCAAGCCCCACTTTGGCCGCACCGAGAGCCACCTCACCGCGCTCACCGAGTCGAGCGACACGGCCACGATGCAGCTCGACGACACGCCCCTCACCACTCCCTCGGTCACCGACCACCAGCCCAGCTTCCTCACCATGCACCAGCCCTCCATCGACATCCGCAGAGGCCTCGTCGTCCTCATCGACGACCTCACCGACCAGCACTTTGTCGACTGCGACCTCGAGTGCTTCCTCGAATCGCTCGCACACGAGCGTCTCCTCCACATGCCCCGCAAGAACTCGGCCTGGGACAAGGTGCTCCGACAGGCAGAGGAGATCGGCGCTCAGCTCAACCACTTCTCCCACCTCGCTGCAGACGAACACTCGCTCAAGACCAGCCTCGTCGCCATAAGACTCCTCCTCCAAGTCGGCCACCACCAGGCTCACGCCCTCCGTCCGCTCTTTGAGCTGCTCTCCCACGTTGCTCACCTCCTCATCCGCTCGCTCCACACCAGCACCCCTTACCAGGCCCACTCGCAGCCCCTCCGCTCGCTCCTCCACTCGCTCTTCTCCCGATACATGTCGCTCAGCGCAGACCTCGCACGCCACGTTCGCTCGCGCATGAACCGTCTCAGCCCCACCAGCTCCGAGTCGATCGACATTGGTGCCCACTTTGCCGACGCCATCGACGCCATCGACCTCGACCGCATCAGGCTCGACCGCCTCGTCTGGAGGCTCGCCCTCGTCCAGCACGCCGTCCACCCGGCCGTCGCGACGCTCGACATCCTCCACCACCTCGAGGGCAAGTCGGCTCCCAGCCTCAAGTCGCGCCTCTTTGCCAGCCTCAAGCGCCAGGCCACCGTCGAGCCCGAAACGTGCGAGTGGTTCCAGACCCCGCTGCTCGGCTTCCTCCGCGGCCGAGACGACGTCCTCCAGATCACCGGCAAGCCCGGCACAGGAAAGTCGTCGCTCGCCGTGTGGACCCAGGAGCGTCTGCGCCGCACGCTCGGTCGCAAGTCTTACGACGTCCTCCTCATCGACCAGCACGACTCGCACTCGCTCGTCGACCTCGCCAAGTCGCTCCTCGCACAGATCTGGCACCACAACATCGGCGACGTCGAGCTCCACTCGGACCTCGCACACGTCATCTCGCACGACCACGACGACGACTCGCTCGCTCAGGCGCTCTGGGACGTCCTCGCCAACACGCTCGCCCGCATCACGTACGACAACGACATGCTCCTCCTCGTCGACGGTCTCAGCACCCGCCACAACAAGGCGTTTCAGCAGCTGCGCCAGTGCGTCGAGCGCAGCCCTCGCGCCCGCATGGTCACGTTTGGCGGTGCCTGCGCCGACGACCTGCCCGACTACAAGATTACGCGCGACGTCAACGCCAAGGACCTCGCCGTCTACCTGCGCAACGGCCTTTCCAGCCAAGGCGTCCCGCACGACGAGACGCTGATCGAGTCCTTGCTCGAACGCGCCAGCGGCTCGTTCCTCTGGGCCTACCTCTACCTCGAGCTCTTGCGTCTGCATCCCACAGAGGACAAGGACTGCACGCTCGATGTCCACAGGCTTCTGCACGAGCATGCCAAGCACCTCGGCGAGGCGGGCGAGCGGCTGGTCCAGCTGATGCTCATCGCCAGGCGTCCACTCTGCTGGACCGAGCTCGAGGCGCTCATGCGTCCCGACATGCTCGAGGCCGCGCGTGCCTCGCCGCACGCCTCCATCTTCTTCCAAGAGATCAGCGGCCACCTCCACTTCCGCCACGCCACCATCCGCAGCTTTGCCCGCGAACATCTGCTCAACGACGAGCAGATGGTGCACAGGCGCATGCTGCGCAGGCTCCTCGTCTCGGTCGCCGCCGAATTCACCGATGTGGCGCTCCCGCGCCTCGAGCTGCTCAGCGCCAAGGAGCTCGACGCCGCCATCCACGCGGGCAGCGCCGTCGAGTACACCGTCCTCTTCTGGCACCACCACTTTGAGCGCTCCGGCCTCGAGGCAAAGGAGCTCGCCGACTGGTTCCCGCGCTCCACACAGTTTGCGCTCCTCGAGTGGTCCTACTGGAACCACCACCGTCACATTGACCACCACAAGCTCGGCCTAGAGGTGCGCAAGGCGTGCTTCGGCAAGGACCACCTGTCGGTCATGCAGATGTACCTCGCCCTCGCATGCATCCATCGCGGCCACCACCAGCTCTCGGAGGCCGCCGAGTACTTCTTCTACGCCTGCAAGCTCGGCCAAGAGGGCAAGTGCATCGACCGTTTCTCGCTCGTCGTCACCATGTGCGCCTCGCTCTTCCTCACCTGCACCGAGACGCTCGTGTTTGTCGAGAGGACCGAGCTGTGCACCATGCGCGAGCACATGATCCGCTTCACCATCGAGATCTGCCGCCGCCAGCACGGCGAGCACAGCGAACAGGTCATCCACTGGTACCAGGTGCTCATCCAGCTCCTCGTCGGCATCAAGGACCACGCCGCCGTCATCATCGTCTACCGCGAGCTCTACCACATCTTCCTCCACCTCCACGGCCCGCGTCACGAGCGCACCAAGCACATCTGCAACGAGATGGCCGGCCTCGAGATCGTCGTGCACGGCCAAGATACCGAGCTCATCGACACCTACGTCACCTCGATCCTCGAGACAGTCGACGAGGAGGAGGACGAGCACGAGCACGATGCGCGCATCCTGGTGCTGCTGCGACTCGCACGCGGCTATGCCAAGCACCACCACCACTGGCACCACGCTTGCCGTCTCTACCTCACCATCTGGCGCCGACTCGGCGAAATCTGCCGCCGCCAGTGGTCGCTCGACATGGTGCTGCTCAAGATCGACGTCTGCATCGAATACGCCAAGCTGCTCCACGCTCACGGCAGCGTCGCCGAGGCGCACGACATCCTTGTCGTGCTCTGGGCCGAGTTCCACCACCACGAGTGCAAGGAGTACGACATTATCATCCGCCTCAAGCAGCTCGGCCTGGTGCTGCGCAGCTTTGGCCTGCTCTCGGTGTGCTACGAGATCTTTGTCAAGCTCTTTGGCTGGTTCAAGGGCTGCGGCCGCCCTTACGACGACGAAGCGCACGAGGTCACCGTGATCGTCACCGAGGTGACTGAAGAGATCGAGGAGGTCACGCGCAAGACCAAGACCACCACCAAGATCACCATCACCGAGACCGTGACGCGCGAGGTGTTCGAGACACACTACGAGCGCTGCATCCGCACCAAGAAGGGCGACAAGCACCTGTACAAGGCGTGCCTGCTGCTCATCAACCAGCTCATCGCCTGCAGCAAGTACGAGGAGATCGAGATCGTCGTCACCCGCACCATCGAGCTTGCCTGGTCCGCGTTCCTTGACGTCAGCGTCGACATCTCGATCCCCGGCGAGCACGTGCGCGAGATCCTGCTGCTCGTAGGCCAGCTCGCCCACTGCCACCGCAAGAGGGGCCACTACGACGTCGCCGAGCGCTACTACCTGCGCATCTGGTGGGCCTGCCGACACAGCTTTGCCATGGACCACGAGCACGTCACCCACGCCTTCTGGGCGCTCATCGGCTTCTACGAGGACCACTACCGCTACGACAAGGTCATCGAGCTGTACGTCGAGGTGCTCGAGCTCTACCGCGCGCATTGCGGCGCTCACCACACGCTCACCCTCCAGCTCATGTACAAGCTCGGCAGGCTGTGCAAGAGGATGGGCAGCCACAACTACATCCAGTACTTTATCGACATCTACACGGTGCTCGAGGCACACCACGGCCATTGCCACCCGGATGCATGGGAGGCGGCGTGGGAGATCTGCGAGTGGCGCTTCGACCATTGCCACTGGGGCTCGCTCCTCGAGATCTGCGGCACGCTGTGGCAGGTCTTTGTGCACGGAGGCCACGATGACGGCCACCACCACCACGACTTTTTCACCGCCGACGTCATCATGGTGCTGTACGAGCGCTACGTCAAGGGACTCGAGGTGCACGTCGGCTTCCACTTTGAGGAGCACTACAAGCTCACCATCGAGCTGCGCGACGTGATCAAGGTGCGCTTCGGTGTCGACCACACGCTGCTCATCCGGGCGCTCATTGCGCTCGCCAAGATCTGCGAGTACAGCGAGGAGCACCACCACGAGGCGGTCACGCTGTACGAAGAGGTGATCACGCGCACGCGCACCGTCACGGTCGAGACCATCACCGAGGAAGAGGTGACGGTGGTCAAGAAGCGCCTCACCAAGGTGTACGTCACCATCATCGAGAAGGGCGGCCACCACCACCACCCCGAGCTGGGCGAGAATGCGCTGCGCATCTGCATGGAGATGTACCTCCAGCTCAAGGCCGAGCTGGGCTGCTGGCACGAGCTGACGCTGTTTGCGCTCGAGAAGGTGCTCATCATCCACTTTGCGCTCGGCGGAGAGCACCACCACGCGCAGATCCTGGTCCTGCTCCAGGCGACGGTGGTGCAAGTGCTCGGCACCTGCCACGAGTCGATGGTGCTGCACCGCGTCGCCATCCACATGTCCAAGATGCTCATCCGCTTCAAGGTGGCAGCGTGGGCGATCTCGCTGCTGTGCAAGCTGCAGCACCTGATCGTGCTGCCGGATATGCCGTGCGAGCACGACCACGACATCGAGTGGACGCACGCGCACGGCACGGAAAAGATGTCGCTCGTGTTTATCGTCGCGTGCCTGCACAGCCTGGGCCACTACGAGGAGCGCTCCTTCTCCGAGGTGATGGCGGCTGTCCTGCTCGAGATGCAGCTCTACCGACAGTACAGCTACGAAAGCCGCCGCGAGGTGGTCGAGATGGTGGTGCTCCTCCAGGCTACTGCACGTCTGCACTGCTTCTGGCACGCTGTCGGCCGTACCGCCCTCTGCCGCTCCATCCTCTCGCAGGTCCTGGTGCACTTCCGCGCCTCGGAGCTCGGCGACTGCCTGGCTAACGAAGTGTCGGACGAGGTGGTCATCGTGCTGCTCGAGGCGGTGCTTTCGCACACGGACGGAGAGAAGCACGTCAAGGACGTCGCCTACCTCTTCTGCCATGCCGTCAACCACCGCGTCAGCCAGCTGCTCGAGGCGGGCGACTTCTCGACGGCGCACGAGCTCGCAAAGTGCGGCCTGAAGCTCGCGCGCCACCACCGCTTCTACCACAAGCACGTGGCGCTGGGCTACAAGCTCGCCGAGTACATGGCTGGCATCGACGTACCGGCGAGCACGAGCAAGAAGCTCAGCCGGGCGATGCGCCAGACGTCGCGTGCCATCACGGACGAGGTGCTGTGTGCGCTGCGCGAGGCCGAGATCGAGCTCGTGTCGCTGCGCTTCGACGACGTGCGCGGCCTGGTGCGTCTTCTGGGCGCCCAGTCGAACTACAGCTCGCTCGAGGCGGTGCTCGAGCAGCTGTGGCGGTCGAGGGAGGTGCAGCGGAGCTGGGAGCCGGCGACGGTGGTGTCGGTCGGGCACGCGCTCGTGCATGCGCACGTGGCTGCTGGCCATCTGGACGCGGCTCTGTCGCTGTGCGACACGCTGTGCTACAACCTGCGCCACTCGGGCGACGGGCTGGACGACGAGGCGGTCGAGGCGAGCCAGCTGCTAGCGCAGCTCTACACGCACGCCGGCCGCCACGACCGC